AAATGATGACATATTTGTGTTTTTTTTTTAAAGAAAAATAAAAAAGTTCTCTTATAATGTAATGGATGTAAAATATAATGTTGTAAGATCCAATCATTCTATGGAAATGTTTATGACGGAAATGTCGCACTATGTCCAATGTTTTTAATGCTAATAAAAAGCTTTTAATTAAAAAAAAAAAAAAAAAAAAAGTCAAAAAAAAGATCCCTTTAAACTCTTGCTTCTATTCTATTCTATTTTAATCTATTCTAAAAGCACTGTTGAGCGGTATATAAATCTAAGTGCTATTGCTATCGCTCTCTTGCAATAACTTGTCACTTTTCATTTTGTCATAAATTCTCCAGGTGAAATACATACAAGTCAGCTTAGCCTTAATAGGCTGTTTACTTGCCAAAAAAAGATAGAGATTTTTTTTAAAACTACAGGCATGAATGTAGTGGGCGTTAAATGTTTCTTGACAATATGTTTGAGAAGCTGCTATTGAGGATGGGGAATATGGAAAGAGGGTGGCGGGCCTGCCATATGTGGATAAGTATGCATTTATCTCAGGTGTGTGTATTTTAACCCTAGGCCAGCTGCCTCCCAGCCTTTGTCCTGAACCCCACTCCAGGGTCCCAGGTGATTGATGCCTGTGCTGCTCCTGGCAACAAAACCAGCCAGCTGGCTGCCATCATGAAGAACAAAGGGTAAGGGAAAGGAAGGGCAATACCATTTATTTATGGAAATGTTTTAGGCAGCATTGTAGGCTACAGAATCCTCTGTGGCAATTCACAGCACAACAGTAATTTCTGCAAAGATCCGAGTGATGAGGATAATGTAGCCAAAGTAGTATTTGCATTAGGCTCCCAGAAAGATCTGGAATAGATTTTGGGAGCATCTGTTCTCTAGGTTTACATGGTATTAGCAAGCCCCTCCCTCGCCCCCCCCCCAATTTTCTCCTCTCATCTTGTCAATTTTGCAGATCTAATTGGTGAATTGAAGGTTACTCCCTCTGATGCTGCTTAACATTACCGTATTTTTCAGAGTATAAGACACACCTTTTTCCCTAAAAAAAGAGACTGAAAATCTGGGTGCGTCTTATACACTGAATACAGTATTTTTTGCCTCTGAAACCCCACCCCCTTCACCAAAAGCCTTTAGGAGGCTTGTAGAGTGCTCCTGGGGGGCTGGGGATGACAGAAATGAGCGAAAAATGGGCCATTTTTGCTCATCCCCCCCCCAGCACTCTACAAGCCACTTAATGGCTATTCATGCCCTTTTTTGGAAAAAAATATGGGCCCGTTTTCACGAAAAACGGGCCATTTTTGGGAGATCTGTAGAGTGCAAAAACTTTTTTTTTTAATTTTGCCTCTTCAAAACCTTAGTGTGTCTTATACTCCAGTGTGTCTTATACTCTGAAAAATACGCTAAATTTCATCCCAGTTGCAAGTTGATTTTTTTTTACACAAAAGAAACACTTGTGGTTGACTGGTATGAGAAAGGACAATTTCTCTGTATTCTTTAAATAATATTCAACTATTTCCAGTTATGTTGAAATTTACATTATTATCTGAAATATGCTAGTGATTTTTGTAGAAACTATGGCATACTGTCATATATATTACAGTATTTTTTCTTTACTCCCAAATTTGCAATTTCCATTCGTAATTTATTTTTTGGGATTTTAGGTGAGAAACCCTGAGATAACGCTGCTTGGCTAAATAAGTTACTCCACAATTTGCAGATGTTTGTTTAGTATTAGACTATGATCACAGTTTAATTCATGTAAATAATCATAGTTATGCAAAACGGCCTCCCCCCCCCAAGAAATTCTTAAACAAACAAACAAAAAAATCTGTCTTACCTGCCTCTTAAAGTACTGGATGAAACACTTGTTTTGTAACATTCATATGCTTGTGAGAAAATCACTGGATTTTGCTAGCGGTTTTAAAAATGTACCAAATAACACGTAACATTTTACTTGTTTATAAATGACACATTAAGAGCATTAATTCAAATCTGGGTTTGCTAAGAAAGTTGCTTAAATTTAACATCTTCTTCAATTTTTTTTTTTACTGTGGCCTCAACATCTTTTTCAAATTTTTTTTTTTACTGTGGCCTCAACATTTCTAGAAAGTTTACTTTTGTATTCTAGAGGGGCTTGTGACTATAGTTGGATTCACACAAATCATTCTAAAATGTAATATGAATTTTGTTTTTAATTGGCTTAGTATATTGCATGAATGCAAACATTGCGGATTGTGGATTAATACTGTGTGTGAACCCAGCCAGTTGAGTGTTTTCCAGTTGAGTATTTTCAGCAGTTTAATGACAAAAGTAACTATTAGCTGCAAAACTACCATTATCTTTTGTAATATTGCCCCTGGACACCCCACAGACAGAGGGATGAACTTTGAAGTAGTAAGCTTCCAGTCTTTGTGAATCTCAGGATGAGGTAGATCTCATTTGATTCTTCCAATTAGAAAGCAAAAATTCCAAGAAGCCAGGTTAGAGAAAATAGATCCTGCAGATGACTAAGCTTTGGATAAACCTTGGAGAGGAAGAGCTGCTTGTGGTGAAGTTATTGTTTTTCACCTTTCTTTCCCGTGGAGGTATCTGATTTTATACTCATGTGTCCATCACCACTCAAAACATCCTTCTGTCTCTTGAAATGCAGGCGGATCTTTGCCTTTGATCTGGATGCCAAGCGGCTGGCCACCATGAGCACTATGTTGGTACGGGCAGGGGTCGCCTGCCATGAGCTGGCACACCAAGACTTCTTAGCAACAGATCCCACTGATTCCAAGTACAGCAAAGTGAGATACATTCTCTTGGATCCTTCATGCAGTGGCTCAGGTGAATAAAGGGTGGAGGTGGATTTCCAGCTGGGACTTACATTAAATACAAGCTTATTAGGAAAATGGATGAGAGACCATCAAGGTATATCAAAGAGCCAGGGGGGTGCAGTGGTTAGAGTGCAGTACTGCAGGCTACCTCTGCTGATCACCAGCTGCCAGCAATTTGGCAGATCGAATCTCACCAGGCTGAAGGTTTACTCAGCCTTCCATCCTTCCAAGGTGGGTAAAATGAGGACCCAGATTGTTGGGGGCAATAGGGCTCTCAACACTCTGAAACCGTATAGAAGTGATATTGCTATATTTTTCTGCAGCCTGGAATTGGAACAGTGAAGAGTATCCTAAAAGCCATACGTTGTGCCTTTTTATCCAAGTTGGGAAGCTGACAGCTAATTTGAACAGTTGGAAATAGTTTTTAGGAAGTGGGCCATTTATGATTTGACTCTCAGATATAATGGTGATGNTGGGGGCAATATGCTGACTCTCTGTAAACCACTTAGAGAGGGCTGAAAGCCCTATGAAGCGGTATATAAGTCTACTGCTATTGTTTAGTCATAGTTCAGAAAAGATCAGGTGCTGCTGTGTTGACAAACACTCATTTGCTATAGCTAACTCAACCATAGTTTATGGAATTAATCAATTTCCCCAAATTTGCACAATACTCGGAATAAAATATTTACTATCCATAGTACTTACAGACTGAAGTATGGTAGTTTCTTTTTTATTTAAAACATTGCACAATTTGAACCCTTGTTTTAAAAGACAACTGCATTCATAATTCCATGTGATTAAATATATGCCAGTTAATAGGGACTAAAGAGCCAGGTAGATGATCCAACCTGGTCTTCGGGTCTTCTAATTGTGTATGCATCAACACTACAATTGAATCCATAATTTGTGTCTAATAGGCTGCTTCTCAAAAAGGGCTTGGCATAATGTGTCCAAAATATAATTTGAGCCTGGTTATTATACCTCATGTGAGAATTCTGGGTTGGTTTGTTCAGTGATGCTTTGTTTTGTTGTTGTTCCTGGCTATCTATGGTATTTTCCAGAACTTTGTCCAGCACCAAAATTCAAAAGTGTCAATACTCTTTCTGTCCTGTTTTTTCAAAGTCCAACTTTCACTTGCACTATTCTGATCTTTCTAGATTTCGACAAATCACAGCATCTGAATATCTTTTTAAGATCTTCATGGCTGCTGTACCAAGTGCTAATCTGTGGTTCATTTCTTGGTTGACTGGCTTGTTCCTTTGCTGTTGATTGATACTACAAAGCAGAACTATCTATAACTTCACTATCTTCATTGCCAACTAGGTTCTGGTTGCTGTAACTGTTGACATGAGTTTTGTCTTATTTATATTTAATTCTCCTCATCTTCTTTATATTAATCTTTAAGGGAGATGGGCGGTTCAAAATATGAGAGGTTAAAAAAAGAAATAACGTTAATCCTGTTTTTTTCACTTTCACAAATTTTCCTTACAAAAGATTGCAGACTATTTGATGTAAGGGTTCCGAGTAAGACCCCAATGAAAGAAGACTCTGAGGCTTGAGTTTCCCCAAAGTCCCCACAGTTCGCGCTGTGATCGATAAATGTAAAATTAAAGCGAAAACCTTACCCTACCCCCCCCAAACCTAACCCTAACCCTAAACCTAATCCTTAACG